TAAAAAAAAAAGGAATCTTTCCTGAAGTTTCCCTTCATTCCAGATTGATTCAATCCTGCTCTCCAAGCCACCTTAAAATGTTTCCTTCCCTCCTTGGTATTTCCACCAGATCTCCAGTGGTTGTCATTCAGCCAAGCTATAAATATTGAGCTCATTTAATCCCCAGTAGTGTTGGCCCCAGCGTTTGTATTGGCTTTGCCTGAAAGCCCTCCATTATGCAGACAGCCTTCTGCTGATAAGATGTCATGGAYATTGGGACTGGAATAGGATCAGAGTGTTGAATTTAGCGAGGAGTGGCCATCCCCTCTCTGATCTGTAACCCAGGGGCTCCTGCATTTTACAATTTCCTTYCAATGTTATCCCTTTGCAGTCTCCTGCCTGCTCCTGTCCCCTGGGTTGTTCCCAGTCAGGCAGTCCCATCACTGGAGCTCTTTTTGGGGCTGCAGCCCTTTTCCTGCCATCCCATGACAATGTGAGTTGGTGCCCCTTAGCCATCCTGCTGTCAGAGCAGGAGAGAGGTGACAAGAGGCATTTATGGGGATCACATCCCTCACTGTGCAAACCAGGARGGAATGGAGCAGCCTGGCTTTATTTCCTGTGCAGCTGGGCCGTGGTCCCAGCCATTTAAATAAAAATAATAATCTCAGAGCAGCAGATCTGTGAGCAGAACTATGACAAGGTGCAGAGAGGGGAGGGAAGGCCACAGTCCCATGAAAACACTGACATTTCGCAGATCCTACAGGGACTGAGCAAAGAGCTGTCCTGGCTAAAGAATGAATTTATGTCCTTGAAGCAGCAGAGTCCCCATAGCTTGACAATACCATGATCAGCTTGTGTGAACACAGTGTCTCTGGGAAGAACAGGCAAAATGATGACTTATATGACTACTGGTGCTCTTTTATCCCTAACAAGGAGACCAAGTGCTTCAGGTCACTCCTACTCATCAGAGCATTTGRGCTCATCCCTGCCTTGTTTTGTGCACTGACAGCTCCCAGATTTCACAGGGTTTGTTGCATTTATGGCTGAATAAGGTTGGAGTGATTGATTGTGGYACTACAAAACAAACCTTCAAAATGCAGCATTGCAGACTGGCAGGAATCTGGGGTTAATCCTCCCACACTGCAGTAAGGTGATTTCTACATAAGGTGATTTCTCCCCCTCATCTYTCTGGGTTCAGCTGTGTTATAAACAGCCAGGGTGTACCCTCATTTCTATTCCCTCAGTACTATCAGGGCCGTGCAGAGTCACCTTCAGCATCTGAATTGGAGCTTGGCTTCCCCATTCAACAGAACTAAAGGTGCAAAAGGGACCTTAGATAATTGCCTGCAAAATTCTCATGTTCCAAAGAGGAGACATTTCTTTAATCTGGTCTGAAAGAGGACAGAGATTTTCCATTTCTTCCAGAGAATTGATTTCTGTGCTATGCTATCCTTACTGTAAGAAGATATAGGAAATGTTTGAAGGAACCTTTTCTGCTATAACTTATTTCTTACAGTATTACACTCGTAATGTTAGTAGTGAGAAATGCCTACTAACTGGCTGATATATTTATAGATCTTATGCTCTTTCAGKTTTTTCATCTTTARGATGGTGTTCTTTATGGGTATCTTMTGTCTTCTTCCAGATCTGTAATGAAGGATATGAACCTCTGCACTGCAGGAATGGATTCATTACACTTTAGTCTACATTTCTAGTGGAAAAATATCAATGGCCTGCTAACTGAATAAGGAGGAAAATACATAGAACTACATTGTTCCATTTTTTTCTTATCAGTTACTTAGGTTTTGAATGTTCCTTTTATTGTCCTTTGGACTTTCTCTAGCTCCTTGCTATTCCTCTTCAAATGCAGTGCCCAAACCTGGACAGAGTCAGAAGGAATCATGCTCCTGACAAATTGAAGGTATAATCTGAAAAAAAAAAAAAACTCACGAGTGTATAAATGCCTACATGTAATAAATGGATTCTATAAGCGTATGAATAATCTACTTAGATGGGATGGACAAAAGTGACARGAACAAGAATTAATTCTGCAGAACTGTTCAACAGTGAGAAGACCTTAGCTAAGTCAGTGACCACTTTTGTGAGACTGAAGAAAAAAACTGCTTTCAGCACTTCAACTGACAGTTTTTTCCTCTGTTAAGCAGAAGAAAAACACTTTTYTGTGTTTCCCTCTCATTAGTAATTCACTTAGAATAACTTCATGTTGCTTTGTGTTTTGACCGTTCTGATTTTATCCCTACATGTTTGTCCTGGTGTGCAGACCTTGTTTCCTGTGTTRCATCCACTAAAGATCTCATGATTTAGCAATGTTGGTTTGTAGCTGTACTTTCAGTCTGTTCTTCAAAACAGGACAGTTTGCTTTTGTGTCCTTAGTGTTTTTTTTTAAGAAAACACTTGGTCTTTAAAACTCTTTATCCCAGGAGACCTCACTTAGCAGTTGTCTGGAAATCTGGAAATACAATTGCTCCCTTCTTACCCAAGAACAGCTCCCAGAGTCCTGGAGCACTCCTCCTTACCTCTCTGTCATTGCAATCTGCTCCAACATCGCAGAACCCGTGTTTGCCTTCCAGTTCCCAGAGATGGACGTCCTCCTAGGAAAACAAACCAGAAACGTACCCTGAGCATGAAAATAGACTGCTGCCCATCCTCCTGCATACTGTATCCTCATTCTTGACTTGTACAGGAGGGGATGAGGTGAGCTTCTTCTTTCCAAATCCTTCCTGAACAACGCTCCATACAGGAAATGTTGTTTAGACTGAAGAACTGACTGAGGATTTAGACAGAGAAACCTCCAAGGAATCTTGAGCACACATCAGGCTCTGTGAGTGCTTTCTTTCTTTATAGCTCAGACCTAAGGGAGCTGAAATGTGTGTAAAAGATCTCTGGGATAATCACCCTTGTGTTCTGCAATGGGCAGCATCTTCCATCCACAGAAGCTCTGCAGGCCAATATTTGCTGAGCAACTTCACAAAATGTCAGCTCTGACATTCTGGGTCTGCTTAAATTTGATTTCAATTGTACTTCTGGGTCCACTTCAGTTTGATTTCAGTGGTACTGACATCATAGAATATATTATCATACTTTGATAATATCATCATCATAGTCTTTTCTGACTGATTTTTCACTGACCTGTCAGTGGCTCACTGTGTTTGGACTGAAAGAATTTCTTGTTTCAAAATCTTTCCAGTTCCATTAGCTACAACTGATAGTTAATTTCCAAAAAAGGTAAAAATTCTTTTGCTGGAAAATTCTGGGTTTCACCATTACCTGTCAGGGTGAAAATTTTCTTTTTCTTGACCSTAGGCCCCAGGGTCAAAGCTGTGCCAAATTCCAGATAACCCTTGCACAGAGCACAAGCTGGGACAGGTCCAAAAGCTGACAGGAACATCCAGGAGCCTCTCCATGCTGGAGATTCAGGTAATGATTTATGAGGGAGTGGGAGCTGTGATCCAACCCTTCACTGTGAGGTTTGGGAGCCCTTGCTGMCAGTTCTCTCACGTTTTCAGCATAAAATGTAAAAGACACTGAACTTGCATAACTTTGTTGAGCTGTGGTAATATTGAGGWCCTGCTGGATTATAAACTTGGGTCATTATAGCTGACTACCTAAGGTTCCCCTTTGCTCTTGTGAGAGATACCCTGGAGTGCTTTTTCCARTTTTACCCTGAACAGGTATGTAGAGTTGCTGTGAAATTTGTATTTTTAACCGTGTTTAAAGTAAGTGTAAGTGAAAAACAGATCTGACATGGGTGTTTAGGAAATGCACCTGGTGTAGCAAATGTAAACAACTGTGTTCTCATTGATAAAATAAACCACAGCTTGACAGCTTTACAAGGAAATTTGACATGGGAAATGTCCCAGAATGAGAATTCTGCTTAAGCCATTGGGCTGCTTTGTTGGACTTGTTTATGCCTGTCCATCTCTAGCCAACATCGAGCATAAGATTTAAAATACATCTCTGTTGTATTCCTAACTTTCCTGTTAGGGAACTTTGCTCTTTTCAAACTGAAGAGTATTATTTGCAGCCCATTGGAGCAGACACCAAACCCCACACCACAGCCTCTGTCAGATCATCTGAGTAGTTCACGTGTCA